GAGGAAAATCTAGTGAGAAATTTAGTAGAGCCATTGTACCTGGCATAAACTCCGGTGTGATGGTACACCTAGGCTTTTAAGTAATCTTTTGTAAATAATCAGTGATTGTTATCTGAGACTTTTGGAGTTGCTTTTCTGTAGGAGCTTCAGAGCCTTTGCATGACATAAGACATTCTTGGCAAACCAGGAAGTCTTGTACTTGCCTGAGAATTGCTTGGGTAATGAGTTCCTTCAGACAACCTCTAGATAAAACCAAAAGTTCTGGGATGCAAAAATTGACTTGCTAAAAGTACATTTTTTTGGGGGGGAGGTGGTTCAGTCCTCTGGGGCTGACCTCCCTGCTCCATCAAGGCTTCATTACATCAAGTGTCTCTGTTTGATCATCTAGTGTGAAACAGTTTACCGATAGGAAAGGCAGTCCTTGATGGGGCCTGAAAAGAGGTGTGAGGGGGAAGTAAAGGCAGGAGTCCACAGCAGAGGAGACATTTAAAATTTCCAAATCAAAGTCTACTAGAGTCCCTTGATGGGCTTCCAGGAGTACCCACCCACTGGACTTCCCAGTTTTCCCTTTGGCCTCTGAGGCAGCTGGACTACTTTCAGGAAATTTGAGAGTCATTTATTGGGGTATCTGGAATCACATTGTGAGGCCTCTCTCACATTCCTTAGAGAGGGAGAGGGAGGGAGGGAGAGAGATACAGAGACAGAGAGAGAGAGAGAACTTTAACTTTTAATTGATTGAAATTAATTATTTTTTTGAACTCCAGTTAACTTAGAGTTTATTTAAACTAAGGAACAGGTCATGTTTTCACAAAATACATACTTGGTTCTTTAAATAACAACTGTGACCCTGGCAGAAAGATTTAGAGGATGCTATACTTGTGAGCCATGCACAGCATCAGCTTTGGGTTGTTTATTTTTTAAGAAACATCTCTCTTTTCAAAACACCGTAGTAGCCAATAATCAAGGCATGCCTTGATGTGAGCATAAGAATGCAATTTAGAAAAAAAAAATCACACGGGAACCACTCAATTTATTTAAAATTACTGATCAAGAAAGGCAACGTTGGACTCCTACTGAGTTTATACAGCATCTATACAATACCTTGACTTAAATCCAAGAGCAAGGTTAAGACTCTCCTCCTCTATTTTTGCTAAACAACTGTATCATAAACTTAGATAACTTTTAAAAATATTTAAAAGGAGTAGCCTTTTAAATATTTTATTTAAAAGAGGGTTTGGCACTTTAGTACTGATGTCACCAATGTTAATATTTCTTGGGATCTCAGGAAGATTCATATTCTTTTTTTTCTTTGTCTTAAAAGCACCCCTTGTCTTTATTGAAAAATAGATTATTTGCTCATATTGACTCCGGTTTCCCCTCCTTCTACTTCTCTCAGTTATTCCCCACATATTCTCCCAATTGTATCAGTTCCCTTTCTGCCTCTCAATAGAAAAGAACAGGCTTTTCTAATAGCAAAACATAACAAAATAAAATATAATAAGATGAAACAAAAACCATCACAATCAAAGTTGGACAAGGCAAACCAACAGAAGGAAAAGAGCCCAAGAGAAGGCACAAGATTCAGACCCTCTTATTCACACATTTAGGAGTCCTGTAAATACACTAAACAAGAATCCATAATATATATGCAGAGGACCTGGGGCAGGCTTGTGTAGGCCTGTACTTGCTGCTTCAGTCTCTGTGAGTTCATATGAGCTTTGTCCAGTTGATTTAGAGGGACTTGTTCCCCCAGTGTCCTCCATCCCCTCTGGCTCTTGCACTCTTTTTGCCCTCTTTTCCAAGGGGTTCTCTGAGCTCTGAGGGAAAGGATTTGATGGAGACATCATTTAGAGCTGTATGTCCCAAGGTCTCTTTTTCTCTGCTTAATGTCTGGCTGTGGATCTATTTGTTCCCATCTGCTGTAGAAAGAAGCCTTTCTGATGATGGCTGAATAAGGCACTGATCTGTAAGTATTGCAGAATATTATTAGAAGAAGTCATTATCTATCTATCTATCTATCTATCTATCTATCTATCTATCTATCTACCTACCTACCTACCTACCTATCTATCTATCTTTGGCTTCTTGAGAAAGGATTACTCTTTGTAACTGAGCCCTGGCTGTCCTGGAACTCACTTTGTAGACCAGGCTGGCCTTGAACTCACAGAGCTCTCACATCTCTGCCTTCTGAGTGCTGGGATTAAAGGTATGCACCATTGTGCCCGGCTTTTTTGTTTGTTTTCAGACCAGCAGTATTTGGTTTTACCTCAGGTCTCTGGGCTATCTAGTTTCTGGTTCTTGGTCACCCAAGCAGTGTTAGGTATTGGTTCCATGTCATGGAGTGGGCCTTAAGTCAAGTCAGACCTGTGTTGGTTGTTCCCAAAAGCTCTGTGCCACCATTGTCTTCACTTGTCTTGCAGGCAGGACAGCATTGTAGATCAGAGGCTCAGTGACTGGGTTGGGTTCATGTTTTTTGGGTTTTGTTTTGGTAGCCTGCAGAGTACCTTCCCGTACCAAAGACACTAGAATGTAGGGGTGAAGGCTCTGTGTAGGTACCAGCTCGACCTTTCTAAGTTCAGTGTGTTGTTGTGGGTGCTGTCTTCAACAGCGGGGCCTTGCTGTCAGTATGTCTCGGCAACAGCCTCGGTTGGTTGGGGGATTTCCATGGGACCCCTTTGGCCAACAGCTCAATTGGATGTAACCCAGTTCCATTACTTGAGGCTTTGTTTAGTGACAAGAGATTGCTAGTTGGGACTGTGTCTCCTCCATTATTTGAATGAAGACTTCGTTAGGATCGCCTTCATGTATTTTAGGAGGTTCCCGCTGTGCTCGGTTTCCTTACCACCCCTAAAATGCCCCTTAATTTTCGGTGTCTCTCCGTGCATTCCCTCCCGCAACCCCACCTCTCTATTTCCCTCCCTTCCCACCACCTGATCCTTCTGCCCCTCTCATCAAGTCTACCTAATAAAATCTGTTCTATTTTCTGTTTTCAGGGAGATCAATCCCCCCATCCATTCCTATATACCTAACTTTTATGGGTCTATGGACTGTAGCCTGGTTATCATTCATTTAATGGCTAATTTTTCTGTTTCTGGGTGACATTCTCACTCAGGATGATTTTTTTTTCTAGTTCCACCCATTTGCCTGAAAATTTCATTATGCCATCGTTTTCTAAAATGGCTGAGTAATATTCCATTGTAAAATTAATATTCTTAAAAAGAAACTTTTTATTGATTCTTTGTGAATTTCACCTCATGTACCGTCTCAGGGGCCCAGATGCTATCTTCTGACAGTTTAGTGGCCACAGGTTAATGTGGTGGATTGTCATAATATGTAGCTCTCACGACCATTTTCCATATTCACACCAGTCTGATTGTTTTCTAGGGGTTCCAGTGGTTAGCCTGAGCCTCGCCTCTGTGTGAAAGCAGAGCTCTGGGCTTCCGGAGGGAGCGGCAGGAAACCCAAATCACTTTTGTAATCTCACTTTACAGCAGCTCCAGGCAGTAGTGGTCAGAGCACCATATGCCGACACATTTTACCCAGTGCTGCAGGTCTCCAGGGCCTCCCACAGCGTTAGGAGCCACCGCATGAGTGTCCACAGGTCGCAGCGTGGCAATCTTAGGAATTATCCCGAGACTTAGTAGCTTAATTTGAAAATTTGTTTTATTTTATTTTTTAGGCTTTTGTGGGGCTAAACTTTGAACCGAGGACCTTGTGTGTTAGAGGCCAGACTGTGCCACTGAGCTGCATTCACCATTGTTTAAATTCTCCAGTCTGATAAGTCTAGCATTCCTGTTGTAGCTGATACTCCTTCTCACGCTTGCTCTGTCTTCAAATTCTGATTTAAAAAAAAATTAAAAATTCAATTTGTCAGCCAGGAGATAGTGGTGCACGTCTTTAATCCCAGCACTCAGCAGGCACAGGCAGGCAGATCTGAGTTTGAGGCCAGCCTGGTTTACAGAGTGAGTTCCAGAACAGCCAGGGCTACACAGAGAAACCCTGTCTCGAAAAAACAAAACAAAACAAAACAAAACAAAAAAAAAAAAAAAAAGAAAGAAAGAAAGGAAAGTGTTTTGCAATTTGCTCTGAGTTCCAGACGTGATGAAGTAGGTTGAGGGTCCTGTGCTGTGTGGGCTTGCAGTGGGCAGTGGTGTGGATGTGTGAGGAGGAGCATTGCTATTCCGTGGTTAGCCCCGAGACCTTTGCTGGGCATGTTACTCCGCTGTGGACTTCCTCAGTGCTTGTTGGTTCTTCTTCTTCTTTTTTTTAAGGTTTATTTGTTTATTATTTATACAGTATTCTGCCTGCATTTGTGCCTGTACGAAAGAGGGCACCAGATGTCATTATAGATGGTTATGAACTACCATGTAGGTGCTGGGAGTTGAACTCAGGACCCTTGGAAGAACAGCCAGTGCTCCTAACCTCTGAGTCATCTCTTCAGCTTGTTGGTTCTTATCCCTAGGAGAGAACAGAGTTGGAGGTTTCACTTTCCCAAGATAGGTATGGGCTTTGGAAAAGTAGTTTCTCACTTGATTAATACTAATCAACATTATTTAAAAAAAAAAGTGTTCTTTTTCCATTTCATGGCTAGAAGCCCAAGGGGATTTTCTCTGATCATCCACTGTAAGAACCCACATACAGAGCCAGGCATTGTGGTGTATGCCTTTAATCCCAGCACTCCACAGAGTGAGTTCCAGGATAGCCAGGCTGCTAACAGAGAGAAACCCTGTCTTGAACTCCCCAAAGTCCCCCTCCCCCCCCAAAAAAAAAGAACCTACATATAGTTTCTAGAGGTAAGATTTCTGAAACTACAGAGACCTCCCAACGGATCTTCCGTCAGTCTTACTCTGTTATGATAACTGAAGCTTGCAGGGCGTGGTTGTTGAAACAGTGTCACTCCAGCTGATTTTATACAAATTTCAACCGAAGCAGAGATTCGTTTGCCTAATATTCAGAGAAGCGTTGTAGCAATGGTTTCTGTTGTCTGTCTTTCTCTTTAGTACTTGGACCATGAGACGCTGTCGGAGACATTCATCGACAGCAGCGGACAGTATATTTCCTCCCAGGCTACAGGCATTACCCGGACTCCGTACTGTGGCTACGAGCACCAGACCCTGTCCAGTCGGGAACGCTCGGAGGAGGACGCCCTGCTCGCTGCCTCGAAGTGGCAGGTGCCTGATGCGGGGCCTGTCCCGTTTGTGAAGAGCACCGACCCGTCGTCCAGCTACTTTGTCATCTTGAATTCTGCAGCCTCTTTCAGGGTGGGGAGCCAGCTGGAGGTGCTGGTTCACGTGCAGGATTTTCAAGGGAGGCCCAAGAAGTACGGAGGAGACTACCTGCAGGCCAGGATACACTCGCCTAAGCTGCAGGCGGGGGCCGTGGGCAGAGTGGTAGACTACCAGAATGGATTTTACAAAGTGTTTTTTACTTTGCTCTGGCCAGGCAGGGTTAGAGTGTCCATATCTCTGGTTCACCCCAGTGAAGGGATCAGAGTTCTTCAGCACCTCCAGGAAGAGAAACCGGACAGGGTCTATTTCAAGAGTCTCTTCCGCTCGGGGAGGATTTCTGAAACCGTGAAGTGCAATGTGTGTCTCCCTGGAAGTCTTCCCCTGTGCAATTTTACAGATCTCTACACCGGAGAGCCCTGGTTCTGCTTCAAGCCAAAGAAGCTCCCCTGCAGCAGCAGAATCAACCATTTCAAGGGCGGATACTTGAAGGGCCTTCTCTCTGCCGCGGACAGTGCTTTCTTTCAGAGGTATGAGGGTCCTGCTTCCAGCGGGTTATAGCGCTGCCGCACTGTCTTTGCCCATTTAGGAGGCCCTTGTAAGTTTGCATTTCTTGTCTTTCTGTTAGAAGAGGTGTTGAGTAAGAAACCAAACAGAGGCTTGCACTTTTGTGTAGTGCTTTACAAGTGAAATTTAGCGCGTATTCAAAAGACCTTTTCCCCTTCAATTTCTTGTTCCTGCTCGGCTATGTTTTAGGTTAGGAATGCATACCGTGTTTATTGCTACATAGGCGAGACCGCTTATACACAGAGCAGGCTTTAAAAACCCAAGAGTGGCAGGTCGGCTCAGCGCATGCTCGCTCTGCCAGACTGACCAGTCCTTTGTGTCCACCTAAAAAGCCTGCCGCAGCATACATCTGAAACCCCAGAGCTCCTATGGTAGGTACTCTGGGAGGCAGAAACCTGAGAACAGTCTGGAAGCGTGCAGACCAGCTGGCCTGAAGTACGCAGCATGGCAGAAACAAGAGAGCCCCTCCCCCTTAACAAGGTGGGGGAGAGGACCAACTCTCAAGAAGTAGTTCTCCGATTCCCCTCCTGTGACTTACACTGTGATACCTGTGTACCCATCACCCTGTCCCCCGCCCCAGAAAGGAGGTGTTGAGGTCTAGTCAGTGGTGCTTGAGAGTCGCGAGAAGATAAATCTTTGAAAAGACGTTAAGATCTGCTTTTGAAATATTAAAAACATTTATCTATAGTAAAAGACTATGGATATGGCGGTGTTACCGAGCTAACGCAGGAAGCACGAGAACCAAGGTGCTCCAAAGCGAACCATGCATTTTAACGGCTTTTGAAAAATATTATGGCATTATTGCTGAACTGTCCATTTTGAACATAAACGCAGAACATTTTCAGCACAGTGTCAGTATGTGGGTAATGGGCAGAATGAAAAGTATAGCATCAGTCTGGATGGAAATGTGTGTTTTCTTCAGTGCTGCGTGTAATGCTAAAGTGAAGTAGCAGTCCTGGGGGAAGTTATGTCGGATAGAAGAAATTACCTTCACTGTTCCATCGTAGCAGGATAACTATGGCTGACAGTGGCTAATAGAATGCTTACAAAAATATAGTGGATTTTGAATGTTTCCATCATAAATAAGTGGTAAATATTTGTGATGTTATCCCAATTTCCCCGTTTCTAAGTATTATATGTATAAGCATGCATTAAACTCATGTTGTACCTTTTAAGTGTTTATAATTACTAGGTGACAAAAAATAATCAAAGAAGAAATGACATTATAAAACTACCTGGTCAAAAAGCAAAATTATTTGGAAGAACGTATACGTATATATTTTAAAAAAATTTAAAGATTTATTTTTTGTGTATGGGTGTTTTGCCTGCATGTATGACTGTTCAGCATGTGAATTCTTGGTGTCCACAGAGGTCAGAAGAAGGCACTGAATCCCCTGGAACCAGGGTCACAGATGGTTTGAACCACCATGTGGGTGCTGGAAGTCAAACCCAGGTCCTCTGTAAGGGCAACAAGTGCTCTTAACCATTGAGCCATCTCTCCAGCCCTTATAAATGGTTTATTTTTTAAATTGAAAAAAAATTTCATACAGCATATTTTGATGATATTCTTTTTCCCTCCCCACCTTCTTCTGGATCCTTCCCTATAAATATTTTTACTTTAATATGAAGTGTTTATTTGTAAGACTGGTAGAGAGCTATTTTTGTTGAGTAGGAAATCCTGAAGTCTTAATATTTTACTGCCACCCATTTTGGTAGAAGAGATGTTATTGTGAAGCACGTAGTTATAGGAGCTTCTGAAATGAAACTGAGTTTCCACATTCTACAAGTCAGGTTGTGGTCCATCATTATGGCAGTGAACTCATGCCATGCTTTTTTGTACAGGGCCAGCAGAGGGAGCCTCAGCCAATGCATTTCCTGCATAGGTCTCTGGAAGACCAGTATTTTGTATGGCTGAATAAAAAGTGAAATGAAATCAAAGAAAACAAACAAACAACAACAATCCCCCCAGAACCCTTAAACATAAATTTAAACATTTATTTATATATACTTATTTATCTATAAGACCTGGTCTCGCTATGTGAACCTAGACTGGCAAGAAAACCTATCTTCCTGATACAGCCTTGTAGATGAAGAAAATTATAGGCATATGCTATCATGACGAGCTTATTTCTTTTAATTCTTAAATTTATTTTTAAAAGTTTCATATATGTGTACTGTATACATTTTGGACCTTGAGCTCAGATCCAAGGCACAGTATTTTTCAGTGGGCAGATTATTTCATTTCTATGCACTTTTCCCCCCCCCATATGTGAAGATTATTTGGTTGCCCCTTTCTGGAGTTGGGTTGTCTGTCTATCTAACGGCACACCCATGAAGAAGAAAGCGTGGTTAAAATTTTATCAAGTTCCACGTGGAAAATAGTTGGATAAAAGAGTAAAAACTTGAATAGTGAAACATTAAAAAATATTTCTAACACTAAATCCCACCATTAGAAACCAAAGCAAATGAAAAACCCTGTTGCTACAGAAAGAGAAAATGATGTCTTGTGCCCACTCTTACTTGCAAATCATGGGAGTGGCTGCCAAGGAAAGTGTTTGAGGTAGCTTACCTTTGATGGAAACCAAATGACTAATGTTTGTTTTGTTAGCCTTCATACTGCTAAAGTTCTAGACCGTTGCAGGAGGCTATCTCAAAAGATAACAGGTCTGAAAGACCTTTGGGCATATTGTTTTGAGCTCCCTTGAGTATGTTGAGTTTGTACTCATTTTTACCTTATGTCTTTGGTTCTTAACCTCACTTAGTTTAGAAAAATTAAAAAGCTTTGCTGTTGTTTTGTTTGTTTGAGATAGGATCCCACTGTAGCCCATGTTGTCCTGGAATTCACTGTGTAGCCCAGGCTGTACTCGAATTCACTATAAAGCCCAGGCTGTCCTGGAATTCACCGTATAGCTAGGCTGGCTTCAAATTTGTGATGCTCTTCCACATCCTCATTTTTCCAAGTGATAGAATTATAGACAGAATGACTGCACCCAGCTAACTTTGGCGTTTGGGTCTTCAAATCATACGTCGACAATTAAGGTGATAGATCTTTGTCCTTTGCCATTGGGAGAGAGAAAATGGTGGTCTCGGGAAGGACTCTTGCTCAAATATTCTATTGTAAGGGCAGGAATTTCAAAATGATGTTCTCACTAAGAAGTTCTTTTTCGATTTTAACATGATTTATACTTTTTTTTTTCTTCTGGGCATGATGGCTCAGACCTGTAACCCAAGCTCAGGAGGCCAGGGAAGGGGGTTGGGAGTTCAAGGGTAGCCTGGGCTCAAACAGAATAGAACACAGCAGGTGAAGGGTCGGGCAGATAGCTCTGTCTGTAAAATGATGGCTGGACAGACACAAGGGCCCAGGCTCTAGAATGCACTGAAGATCTGGGTGTGATGGTTAGCGTGTGTGATCCCAGCATAGAGGTAGCAAAGACAAGCTGATCTCTGTCGCTCTCACGCCAGTCAGCCTAGTCTACTTGGTGAGCTCTAGGATAGTGAGAACCTCTGTCTGAGGTTGCTCTCTGGCCTTTCTACCATACATGTGCACACATGAAGGAGTTCATGTACATATTCACACCTGCACTCACACATGCACACAAACGCAAATGACCAACCCAAACCAACCAAACAAAAAGTAAGCACATAATATCCTCCCCAACTGCTTTACATTTTAGGGGATACTACATACCTGCAATTGTTAGTGTTTTTCATACTTGTTTTTCTTTTCCTCAGCGTGTACTTTATATGTCTGTTTGTTTATATTTCCCGCCTTGGACCAGTAAAGAGTAAGTTACAGGCAGCACAGCCCCGACCCCAGTAGCACACGCATCTCCTGTGAGCTGGACTTTGTCCAGCATGTAATCTTAACACAGTTATCACAGTTGGGACATTTGTTGTTGATACAGCATTATTGACCAGTGCACCTATTTCATGTTTGGGTTTTCCCAGTAATGTCCTTTGTTAATTTAATCTGGGATCCCATTCTATACTGTCATAGTTTTGGTTTTATTGCTGGGATGAGACACCATGACCACAGCAACTCTTATAAGGAAAACATTTAATTGGGGCTGGCTTACAGCTTCAAAGGTTTAGTTTATTATCATCATGGCGGGAAATATGGCAGCATGCAGGCAGACCTGGTGCTGGAGAAGGAGCTGAGAGTTGTACGTCTCCATCTACAGGCAGCAGAAGGAGGCTGTGTGCCACACTGGGACATAGCTTGACCAAGGGACTTCAAAGCCCACTTCTACAGTGACTTTGAGCTTCCTCCAACAAGGCCACACCTACTGCAACAAGGTCACACCTCCTAGTAGTGCCACTCCCTGTGGGCGGAGCCTTCAAACATGAGTCTTGGGGACCATTCTTATTCAAACCACCACAATAGCTTATCTTTTAGATCCTGGAAAGTTCTTTTATCTCTTTTGCCTCTTATGATCTAGACAATTTCAGTACTGATACATTGTAAAATGACGTTAGATTTGCTTTGTTGTTTTCATATGACTAGATTGAGGTCAAATATTTTTGCTGCACAATTATGGAGAAAACTATCCTTCAGACTTTATATGAAAATTTTTATGTATTTTTAAGTAATAAACTCCAAGCTTATGAGAGTGGTTTATATGTGCCCTCCTGAAAGTGATCAAATGTCATTATATAAGATATTAAATTCTGTTATTCTCCGGTGTGGCCAGCCCCATATGGATCCTTCATTGCTTGTTTTTCTGTTTCCTTCTGTAGAATGTCAGTTCCAGTTAGGGTGGAGATTCTGGAGTTTTTCCACATAAGCCATTGCTTGAATGGTGCCCAGAATATAAAAGCAGCTTAGTAATTATCTGTAGCATGAACACATTTTTTCTGAAATTGGTGAAGCAGTAAGAATATCCTGATGAGACATTCCTGTATCAGGAGGCCGAGCATCCTATGTTTATTTATTTATTATGTCGTCATCATTATGATGACGATGATGATGACGATGATGATTTTTTTTTTTTTTTGAGACAGGGTTTCTCTGTGGAGCCCTGGCTGCCTTGCACTCACTTTGTAGACCAGGCTGGCCTCAAACTCACAGCAATCTGCCTGCCTCTGCTTCCCAGAGAGCTGGGATTAAAAGTGTGCACCGCCACACCTGGCCTATATTTTTAAAGCTTGTTTTTGATGAGTATCAGAGTCTGACAATGACTTGATTCTGGAATATTAATATTGGATTCCCTTTCTTTGCTGCTAGTGTTCATCCTCCCTCAGCTTTTCATGTGGTTCTTTAAAAGAATTTTACCAGGCATACACTCTAATCCATGGCCTGTGCTAAGTGCTAAAGGCACAAAGGTGAGCGACACCTCAACCATACTCTCAAAGAATGTGTGTTACGGTAAGGGGAACAGACACAGGAGTCTGTAATGGAAGGAGGAACTCTTTGAGCACTGTTTGGGGCAAGTGTTTCCGTGGGACTCTTCTCGGTTTGGGCATGCCTAAGGAATCTAGCATGTGGCTTAGTTCAGCCTAGACTTGTGGCCTCAAAACCACGTAGTCACAAAGTAGATATTCTCTGATTCCAAAAGGAGTTATTCAACCTGGAGTTAGTCATTTTAGAGTTTGCATTTGTAAGGCTGGTTAAGAAGTATATATATATTTTAATTATTTCTTTATACACCTGTGTGTGTTTGTGTGTGTACAACAAAGAAAACCCAGTGATGATCTAGTAAATTCATCTATATAGCTTTCTCTCAAGAGCCCTAGCTAATTAACTATTAGTCATGCTAGTTAATTTTTCTCCTTCACCATAAGGCTTGGTATGTCCCTGAATCTTAATCTAAGCTTGTGCTTTCTTCCTTCCTTCCTTTCTTTCTTCTTCTTTTTTTTTTTTTTTTTTAAATTCCATCCAAAGCGGTGTCAATATCAAAATGCCAATCAATTCCAGTGGACCTGACTCGGTGACTGTGATTTCAAGGAGAATAAAAGGTAAAAACAAATGAGTTTGATGACATTTTTCTTCTCTTTAAAAAAAGTATTTATTTTTAAAATTTTATGAGCGTTTTCCCTACATGTATGCAGGGACGCTGCAGACATACAGTACCTTTAGGATCAGGTAAGGTTGTCCACTCTCCTGGAGCTGTAGTTTCAGGAGGCTGTGGGTGGTCACGTGGGTGCCAAACCCCACCTGGGTCCTCTGCAGTAGCAGCAAGTGCTCTGAACATCTAGCCTGGATGGGTGTGTGTGTGTGTGTGTGTGTGTGTGTGTGTGTGTGTGTTTAACCCACTCCTATGCCATGGTTACTTCTGAGTACAGCCTGAGACTATTAAAAGCTTAATTTTGTGTTTTTTTTATTAAATTCTTATTTTTATATTAATTACAGTTTATTCACTTTGTATCCCAGCTGTATCCCTTTCCCTCATCCCCTCCCAATCCCACCTTCTTTTCCTCTTCTCCTCCCATGCCCCAATCCAAGTCTACTGGTAGGGGAGGTCTTCCTCCCCTTCCATCTGACGCTAGGTTATCAGGTCTCATCAGGACTGGCTGCATTGTCTTCCTCTGTGGCCTGGTATGGCTGCTCCCCCATCAGGGGGAGGTGATCAAAGATCCAGGCACTGAGTTCATGTCAGAGACAGTCTGTTCCCCTTACTAGGGAACCCACTTGGAGACTGTGCTGCCATGGGCTACATCTGAGCAGAGGTTAAAGGTTATCTCCATGCATGGTCCTTAGTAGGAGTATCAGTCTCAGAAAAGACCCTTGTGCTCAGATTTTAAAAGCTTAATTTAAAAAAGCAGCTAGAGCTTGTATACTTAATCCTGGGTTTTGCTAGGTGTGCTAATGTAAAAGTTGTCTTCTTTTTCTTCTGTTATACATTCTATATTTGTCTGTTCGAGGTTTTCTTTCATAGGGGTTTCCCAGAACTATTGAAAAACACAGATATTTACATTATGATTCATAATGGTAACAAAAATCACAGTTATGAAGTAGCAAAGAAAACAATTTTGTGGTTGGGGTCACCACCATGAAGAACTGTATTAAAAGGTCACAGCACTAGGAAGGTTGAGAACCACTGCTCTAGGGCTATGTTGGCCAATATGGAAGGTTCTAGTCTTTTGTGGCCATAAAACAGGAATTACTTAAAATGAAATAAAATTAAAAACCCTGTTTTTGAAATCACATACTCAGTAATGTCATCATGTTTGGGAGTATGTAAAAAGCTCTGTTGGTTAGTGTTCTGTAGACAGTCAAGAGATGCACATAAATTGTCTTGGGAAGTGTTAAACACTTGAGTAGAGGATGAGCTTACAACTTGGTGAAAAGTGCCCTGGGCTTATTAGTCTGTGGTGAACCCTGGCACGCAAACACATACAAATCGGCAGGTTGATACAAATCTGATCTTCTGGCTTTGGTATTAATAATGAAGAGCAAAGGTTCACATCTACCTGTCATCCTTGGGAGGCTGAGGCAGGGGGACTGCTTTGAATTCAGGGGAAGCCTGAACCACATAGTGAGAACCAGGCTAGCCTTGGCTACAGAGTGAAACTCTGTTTCAAAGGACCAAAAAATGTAAAAGAATGAAACTCAGAGTTTTAAGTGTGATACTTCTGGTGTAGTAAATTTAGAGAGCAAGGAGACCTATATAGGTAGGGAAAGAGCCTTGGAGTTATTGAGAACAGTGTCTCCCTCACTGCATAGATTTCCATCGCTTTTGCCACAGGCGCCAGGCATATAACACACATGCGCCACGCAGGCCATGTGATAGTATGTGTGCCTTCGTAAGCTGTGCAGAACTAGTCAAAGAGCCTGGACTTCCTCAAGGGGGCAACCTGTTCCTCTGCTTCCTGCAAAACCAAAACAAACCAAAACTGCAACCAGCTCTGTGGACTTTTTTCACCAGATCAAACCAGAAGCCTTAAGGTTTGGTTTGTTTGTTTTGTTTTCTTTCCAATTAATTTGAGTTTCGAAATGTGATGGTGACATATTTTAAGACACTGATATCTGGTTCAGAATTCGTGAAATGTATATGGTATAAAAAAGGTTTGTAGATGAGATATACAGTTTCTCGCTTCCACTGTTGCTGTGAGATATGCCAGTCTCCTGATGAAGATCTGTTTGAGTTCTACTGCACCCCAAACAGCCTTCCCCACTAATGAGTCTGCCCTTCTTCCCTTCCACTCTGCCATGCTTTCCAGGTTTGTGATGTTTCTAGGTGTCCTGTAGAGTGATTAATAGGAGAAGATTTTTGTTCTTCAATTTTTTTTTGGAAGGGGAGTGGTTTAAGACAGGATTTCCCTGAGTAGCCCTGGCTGTTCTGGAACACGCTCTGTAGACCAGGCTGGCCCCAAACCCAGGGATTCACCTGCCTCTGCTTCCTGAGGGCTGGGATTAAAGACATGTGACCCCCCACTCCCCCATTCCACTTATTATTATTTTTTTATTTTTTGAGACAGGTTTTTTTTTTTTTTTTTTTTCTCCCCTGTGTGGCCTCGGCTGTCCTGGACTGGCTTTGTAGACCAGGCTGGCCTTGAACTCACAGAGATCCGCCTGCCTCTGCCTCCATGAGTGCTGGGATTACATGTGTGCCCCACCTCGCCTGGCTTTCACATTTTTACTGATGGGAAATTCCTTTTCCAGCGTGGACAGAACACACAGGAAGATGTCAGGAGCCAGTCAGAGGTAGCTCATCTTCAGTGCTGAGGGACGCCTGGCTGCATTGCTCTGTAGCCATCCACTTGCTCCAGTTGTGTCATTCTGAAGCAAATTAGGCAGAAATTTTAGGGTTTACCTCTACCCAACAGGTCCCAGATCAGTCAGGAACTGGTAGGTTTTGGGTAAAGAGAAGACAGATTAACTTGGGGCTTTTTTGATGGAAGAAAGTAACTGAAAATTATTATGTACAGAATACTCTGGTCATATTGTAACAGGTACATACTTAGGTACAGAAAGTCATATTGTAACAGGTAGATACTTAGGAAAAAATTTGTTTTGTATATCCAAGAGCTCAAATTGAGGAACCTTCCCAGAAGTCCACACTGACCAGAGATGGTACTTTAAGACCCTAATGAGGCTCTGTTTTTCCTTTTATGCAAACATCCTGTTTCTACTTAAACTTTTCCCTGCTAACTTCATCTTCTGTTGGTTTCAACTGTAGCAATGATTTCTGTGACATTCCTTTTGAGATTTATTAAATGGAATGCAAGTATAAAGAAGGTTTGCCACTTTTTATGTCCTATCACTATTATCTATCTATCATCTATCTATCTATCTATCTATCTATCTATCTATCTATCTACCTACCTACCTACCTACCTACCTATCATCTATTTGAGACAGGGTTTCACTGTGTAGTGCTGGCTATTCTGGAACTCACTATGTAAAGTAGGTTGGCCTTGAACTCACAGAGAGTGCTGAGACCGAAAGTGTGCACCACTGTGCACACTATTCCCTTTAGGACAACAATTTCGTAATATTGAATTTTTATTTTCTGACTTAATTTTTAGCCCAAAGAAATAGTAGAATAGGGGTTATTTTTATCAGTTTAAGAGAACTTCATGTCTTAGTGATCTGAAGGTCCATAAAGTTCCGAGAAACACGTTTTCAAAGCAATTTCAGTTATTTGAAATCAGCCAGGAAACACTTTTGAACAAATTGACCGCAAGGGGGCAGTGTAGGCACGTGCGTTCCGCGCTTAAACAGCACCCTTCGTTTGAAGAATGACTGTCAGGTTCAGTAATTGATTTGCTTTGCTTGACTAAACTCTGCTAGTAAATATAATTAACATTCTCATGGAAATGGTAATTGCTTCCTGTGTGATATATACTTTTCTTTTTAACGGGTATTTGACACCAAATAACTGAATCTGCCAAATTACCAGGGGTAAAATTGTAACTTCAAAATCACTTTTAATTCTCATTCCAGTAAATGTTTTCTTTGTGCCCCAGGTGTGTTCTCCGCGTTTCTCTGGCTATGCAGATTGGATACATTAAATTAAAGAGGGCAGGCTAGACAGCTCAGCCGCTAAAACCCTGAGCGCCAAGCCTCATAACCTTAGTTTGATCCTAGCTCCCACACAGCAGGGGAGAAGTGACTCCTACAAATTGTATTCCATGTGTGTATTGTGGTTTGTGCAACACACACACACACACACACACACAATGTAATAATAATATAATACAACAGTGAAGGAGTTGGGGGAGCTGGAGGAGAAGCAACACTTGATAGCATGTTGAGGTTTTAATCTGCTCACTGCGAGTTTTGGCCTTGTTTGGAGATGGTGTCATGCTGTGTGCCTGAGTTGGTCTTGAACTTTCGAGCTCAGGTGATCCTCCTGCCTCAGCCACCTGGGCGATGTAGCTGTACCTCCCAAGTGTACCCTGCTATTTCTGGCTAAGGAAGTGACTACTGAATAAGTCAAATAAATGTTTATTATTTGCCTTCCTACATTTTCTTTCGTAATCATATTTGTCAAACTAAAACTTTTGCAAAATACGAGTTACTTTTCCACTTAGTCACTGAAGCAATAAAAATGCTCAAAGAAAAAAATTAAATATGCACCAGCAGGAGAAATCCTGAAATTTCTTTGACAACATTTTATTTCCTGACAAGAGGAAATGTCATCCATAAGCTAGCAGACCGGCACATAGGTGGGCATAGTTGTATTTATGGGAATAGTTTTCACCTGTTCTTGGAGGTGTATATCAAAATAGATATATATTTCTTTTTTCTTTACCTAAACTAATAAGCTAGAAAATATGCATTTAAAAAGAGAGATTTGGAAATACAAAATAATTTGGATTAAGTAACATGGACAGAGGTAAGGAGTTAAATAACCTGAAAATAACACATATCAGGTCACAAATAAGCTGACTTAAATTTCAAGGTCACATAGCACGTGCATTCCGACTGTGGCTCAGCTGGTGACTGAAGCGATTGGACTGTGATCGGTGCTGAACCCTGGGGTGTGTAAGGAAGTGGCACAAAAGGATTGGTGTTACTTGGAGATTACACATTTGTGTTATTAAGAAAGGAGGAAGTTTGTATCCTCACGGAAAAGCTGCAAGAAATGGCCGACATGTCTTGAGCACACGTTTTTCACATGACCTGGCATGGCAATTGAGAAGCTGGGCTTGGGGATGGCCTGCTTGCTTCAGATTCTGACAGGGACCCTTCATGAGTCCCTGTCAAGTTGCTTGCTCTTGACGGCAGGAGTACTGACGGGAACTTTAAAGAGACTGTGTGAGCCTGCATATGGCAACACGTGTAACTGCCCCGAACAGTGCTCAGAACAGAGCTAACTTGCGAGGGGTACTAGCTATTACCACCTGTTTTGAAGCCTTGCCCATTGTTGCTTCCACAGGGGCATTTCCCTAGGGAGGTGTACAGGCCGGGAGGTACTGACTCTCTCTGAAAGGTGTCCTGGTGTGGCTGCTCCCATGCGTGCTAGCTTACAGTTATGAGCGAGTGCACATGCTGATGCGTTTCAGTGCTGCTTAGGATTCCCGAGGAACCTGAACCATTTGTGGAGAATGATCCATCACGTGGCATTGGTTTCTTCTCTGCATTTGACAATTTTTCTTTATGTATTAAAACCTTTAATGGACTGGGAGGCATTGTATTAATATCGCTATATTAATATTTGTATATATATATACACATGTATATATAAATCTCATATATACATATATATAAATATATATGTAAAACTTAATGTGAGATTAAGCTATCTTTTGGCTTTCAGGAAGTGGGATAAAAACTGTCTCTCCCATTCTGAAATAATGCTGGGCAGATGCGTACATTTCCTTGGATTTTGTCTTCCTTTATTTTGAACTTGGATGAGCATGTACATACACAGAGGGAATGCTTGAAGTGCTCTTTTGCCCTTTTGCCCTCCCATACACCCCCTTCCCCTGACATTTGCTTCTTATCTTCCCATTTTAGTATGGGGAAAAGGCTGGGATTTCTTCAAGCTATGACAATAGGAAGTATTGCCCCTAAGCTTGCAGGCCAGCAAATATGTGGGCATGGTTCTTTTTTTTTTCCCTTAATGGAAACATTTTTCTATCTGTGTTTGGAGATGAATCTCAGAATCTTCTAATAGATTTCCCCCCTTTATCTTTGCAGAAACTGATGACCTTGAAGTAACCCAAGGATCAGGAACTTTTCCTTCTGGCTATTTCTACAAAAACCAGTGGCGGCCCCGAAGGTTTAGGATGCGCCGTTTCAATGACCCTGACAACATTACAGAATGCTTGCAGAGAAAAATGGTGTATTTATTTGGTGACTCAACAATCAGGCAGTGGTTTGAATATCTCACTACATTTGTTCCAGGTTGGTGCTTTGCTTTTGGTCTCATGGCTGTTTCCAGGATATGTGAAATCATATTCAAAATGGAACCTAAAGAAAAGCATTCAGCGGAGGAGGTGATTTCTCTGTAAAGACATATCTTAATCCAGGAGCTGTCCGACAGCTTCTGGCCACTAGTAGAGTCTTGTGTTGGTGGAAACACCGTGTCCTCAAAGAGGCTCACCCCTCTGTCTCTCTCTGACCTTGGGTGAGTCATTTGCTTCTCCAGGCTTCTTGTCTCTGTGTCACATTAGACAGCTGTACTACGTCACCTCACAGGTGTCCTTTGCTTGTAATATTCTAGATTATGAAACAGTTGGCTGTGTCCAGTTGTTTCTTTTTCAGTTCTGTGTGACTCAGCTCTAGGCCTGTACAAGATTTTACTGGAAGGAGGCAGCCAATTGTATCCTTGTAGCAAAGGCATCGCTGGGCCTCTCATTGATGGTACTCTGAGAAAGACAAGGCTTGTGTTGTGAGACGCTGGGCAAGATCCAGCATTGTCAGCTTCGTCTGTCTAGCTCAGACTGCTCTCCAGATCCAGAATGAGTGTGCACTGGTTGGAAACTCACCACTTACCCACAGAAGGTGCCTTCTTCTTTCTCTAAGCGTGTGCGTGCGCTTACTATTAAGGAACAGGTGGTGTTGTGGGAACTATTTGTGTGTTTTGTGTATTTGTGTATGGGTGCAAATGGGTGTGTGTGAAGGAATGTGCATGGAGGTCAAGGTCAGCCTCGGGTGTGGTTCTCGGGTTCTGTCCGGCTTGTTTTGTGAGACTGAGTCTTTCACTGGCTAGTGATCCTGAGAGACTTAGCCGTCCCAAACTCCCAAGCACCTCCTTCCCACTTTGCTTGGGTTCTGGGGATCAAACTCAGGTCCTCACACTTGTACGGAAAGCGGAAAGCACTGGTCAAGCCAGCCATCCTCAGGCTGTTTGGGGCTTTTTTTTTTTTTTTATGGTTTATAAATGGAGGGCTTTTTTCTTTTTCTTTTAAAAGATGCATTTTTTTTTATGTATATGCGTGCTTTGTCTGCATGTACATCTGCACATCAGAAGATGGCATCAGACAGTTGTTAGCTGCCATGTGGGTGCTGGGAATTGAACTCAAGACCTTTAGAACAGCAGTAGGCTCTGAACCTACTGTAGCAATAGGGCTGAACCTCCAGCCCTGTAAATGGAGTTTTTAAAAAAACTAAATTGTCATTATTTTGTGAGTTGCTTATGCTTTTTTCATCATCTCTAATTTACTTTTTAAAAAGAAAAGAAATAGGTTGTAGCCCAGAAGGTAGAAAGTCAATTCTATTTTTTTTTTTTTTTCCATTGAAGCAGATATGGTTGGGTTCTAGTTGGGGAATCCTAGATTAAAAATCTGGAGGAGGAAGAAATGTGCTGTAGGATGCTGGGTAAGCCGTGGTGCTGACCAGGCAGGCCTTCAAGGCATCTGCAGTTGCTTCTTCATAATTTCTGATGACGTAGCTTGATATTTCCTTTAATAGCAATGATCACATTGTCTGTTTTGACCATTTTTCCACCAGACCCTTTAAAGACAGATTTTCATCTGATATAATAAGGCCTTGTGTGGGTGCCTGATCTTTATCAAAAGAAAATGATAGCATGAACTTTTATTCACTTTAACTCTGGAGGCGAAATAGTAATGACTCAAGCAGGAGAGTTAAAGGAGAAGCTTTGGAGGACAGAAAGGAAAGAGTGAGATCCACTTTAACCCCTAAGGGGAATGTAGGCCTAGTATAATCGGTTGTGTCCTTTTCAGAAAGGAGTATGAACTGTGAGGCAGGCCTTTGCATCTGTCTTGGCTGAATTATAGTACCAGTGGGAGGAAGTGGGCACTGGATAGTTGCCAAAGAAATGTGAACTGATCCTTCCTTATTAGAATAGGTATCTTTGGTTAACTTCTC